TTTACAAATTTGCCAACTGATTTGGACCACATCAAACTATAGTGTGAAGAACCCTTTAGCGTGTTAGTCTGAGACACACATGCACTATTTCAAACCTGTTTCCTGGGTGACTAAATATGTACAACAACCAATTATTAATAATCATGAAAAAAAATCAAAGTATCCCTGTGTTTCTTTCAAGTTCTCGTGGCAGGATATAAATGAAAACAGTCCATACTGCACCTTTAATTGGCAGTTATTTTGAAATTCGATCACTTTCAATCTCTGAAAATGTGATTTTGTGTTTGATTTGTTCAGATACTTGTGTCAGATTTTCCCTCATTAGCCTCTTAAATTCTTTCCACTATCAAGGACCTGTGGTTTGTAATTTGCCATGTTTTAAAGGCGACAACGACAACAAGGCTACAGGGTGGCCATGTCTGTTGCATCTCTAATTTATAACATTTTCAATTTCATTCAATGATGGGCGTAGCTGCGGGAAGTTTATTGTTTTTTTTTGTTGATGAGTGAGTATAGGGGTGGGATTTAATAAGTTTTCTTCGTCCCACTCCTTTTTCAGGCAAGTTTTGTTTTTTGTTTTGTGTATTTTATGTTCAATATAGGTATTTGTTGTGCCTGAAAATGAATAAATAAATGAATGAATGAATGAATGAATGAATTCAAGTGAAATTAAATTAGTGAGAATTAGTGAGGATACAGCCAAGTGGAAAATGAATCTGCCTGTGAGCCACACTTCAGTTGCCATGGAGAAAGTTTTCACATTATCCAAAAGCATTGTGGGCTGTAAGATATTTATAGGCTACAATCAATCTCACAGCCTTGAATTTTATCCATTTATTTTTTAAATCTGGCATTTCTTTAAAAGTCAGCTTCATAGTTTAAGGAGGTTTAAAGATCAGAAACTTAGGTACTAAATAATGAATAACATGGAAGTTTGAGAATATGATATACTACAATATAAAATAAAGACTTTTTTGCCATATAACCAGTGTCATATAAAAAAAGACACATGAAGAGTTTCATCATTACAGGTTTCTCTGAGAACAAAGGAGGCACATTTCTTTCAAACCCAGCGGTGGGATTGTTACAAAAAAGTTAAACTTTCCTTTGATCAGTTACAGACAGCTGCACTGAGTTTTGTGGAGGTGATAGCTTTCGATGATAACTAAAACACTTTGCAGGTTCAGATAGGATCAAAGGATTACAGATCATGTAGCTGCTGATGTCTAGAAGAAGACAGATCAGTTCTGGGCAGTTAAACAGAGAGGAGGCAGTGTTAGCCTTGCACTAAGTAGCCCACTATTCACAAGAGGGCTATAAAGGAGGGCTCTCCATGTCAGAGTCTTCCCCAAAAAGACTTAAATTATTGCTGCACTTCTTATTGCCTGAAGACACGACTCACCCAACGGGAAACGGTACAAAATAATAAAATAAAGCTCTTTATCCTTTAAAGATATTTTCATTTAGCTCCTGCCCAGACAAGCCCCCTGTGGCTGCGCTGTTAAAGCTGACTGCCAAAGACATAACGCTCGCCACGTCTGATAAACCCACTGCTATGGAGAGTATGTAAAGCTTTGGAAAGCAATTAAGGCGGAAGCTCAGAATACACGAGAGGGGGGTGTCTCTTTTCTCGTCATTGTCCCTGCTCTGACAAACGCTGACAGGTACTGTGATGTGGATGGCTGAGCTTGAATTTATGAAATATTCATTTTAACAGAGTGAAGGTGGGGGTGGCCTATGTATAATTTATAACATCTGTATTTATGTTGAGATGTCATGTGCTTTTTTTTGGGAATCTTCATGCTTTCATTTCTCAAAGTGGTAAAAATCAGATTGCTTTCAATGTGGCAGGCTTCAGTGTTGTCAGTGCAGGACTGCACAGACATGGATGCAGAGCAATCACTGGTATTGCGCTCAGTAGCACAACACAAGCAGGAAGATGAGGCGAGTGTGAGCACGTGAATACAGGGGCTGAAGGGTAGAGGATTAAATGAAGCAGTAGAGGACTTCTTGCCCCTCCCCCTGCACCAGTCCATTCCTCTAGCTACACCAGGTTTATTGTACATTATGGTAATTTAAAGGAATAAAGCAACAGCACAGACACAGAAAATACAATGATCTCCCGATTCCGACCAGCAGCATCGGCACTATGAGCGGCCACTCAACCTGTGTTTAGGAGACTGTGCAGATTCACAGATTGTAGGGGGATTTTTTTGTTGTTTGATGGAGCAAACTGAGTGGTTTTATAATAAATCCACAGAGCAAACGGAGAAACAAGAAGTGTGTCTGAGCCGCAGTCATACAATGACAGCCCTGGCACTGTGGTCTCGACTGGCATAAGGCAGTCTGGTGTGCCAGGTGCTGATAAGGGGATTGCTTGGCACAGCAGATCATACTCCGTCTGGGATGTTTGTTTGAGTAACAGCGTGGTACATACAGGAGTCAATTCTGCTGTCACACCACTATTTGATTTTGTGTGTCACTGCATGCATATCGCATGAGCGAATGGGCATGCGACTGTGTGTTAAGCGCAAACTGCACGCCTAGCTTTAATGCTGACAGAGGGCAAGATTAAATACCCCTCTTCCACCTCAGCAATGCTGTGATGTTTGCTTAGGTGGGGAAGCTTCAAATCCTCTGGGCTTTCCCTTCATTATCAAAGCCTGCTTATCCTGTGAGATACAAGATAAGATTCTCCTGAGGGAGCGGTTGAGCCAACACCCGTCCTGCGAGCTTGTGGGAAAAGCCTGCAAAGGGTCAAACGGATCGATAAGGTCAGCCAATCAATCCTGTACAAAAGTTAATATGGCTTGGATAACCCTTTCATGTCTGAGAGGTTGGAGAGAATGTTTGAGAAAGGTAGGGATGAAAGCAACATGGTGCAAAGGAATCTGCCCACGCGAAGGTAATGTAATGACAGGCTGGGAAAAAGCGCGTGAGTGCCAATCACATGACTCCAAATGTAGGCTATAGTCTGTAAGATGTGTGTAGAGTGTGTACACACTGCACGCCCACAAACTGCTGACAGACTGACAGTATTGCCGTTTGGCTGTCAATCAAAAGAAGCATTTTGAAGCATCCGGGCGATTTGCATTTCGTGTCCTCAATTTGATACGCAGAAAGAGCCACAGTCCACATTCTCAGACTCATGTCTTTATCTATCAAAGTAAATGAAAAAAATAACAAGTTGTACTCTGCACGCTAAGCCGACACGTGTCAGCGAATGCGACGTAATCACAACAAGATACTGACATTCTCGCCTGAAGGAGGTGTCATCAAACCGCTGACGCATGAATGCAGAGAAACACACACCAGCAATCAATATTCATAACAGATCATTTGCAGCATATATAGCTGGAAGAAAAAGCAATAAATACTGATTTCATGTGTTTCTTTTGTCCCATCAACAGTCTAAAATCTGAAGTTATTTAACTGTAATTGTACAAACCAGAGAAAAGGCGTCGCATTTGAGAAGCTGGAACATGCATTTGGCGTTAGCTTGACAAATGACAAATTATTGCTGTTAATCAACAATATATTAGTCAACTAATTGATACAGCAGCAGGAGGCAAAGCTTGCAGGCGAGCCAAAACAGGAAGCGCAGAAAAGAAATGAAAATAAAAATAAATAAATAAACAATTGGTTCAGTTTTTTTCATTTCAGTTCACTTTTCATTTCAATGTTTAAATGTGTGACACGGAAGAAGGTAAACATACAAAAGAATCCAAATCACTTGATCAAGAAATATTGAAGAACAGTTAACTCATTCTTGCTATGTGTTTACGTCTCCCAGTATCAGATGCTTGATCCACAGACTGTATAAAAAATGAACACAACCTTTTAGCATTTGAAAAGTCAAGTGAAATCAATGCACAGTGCTTTAAATGTGCATTCTTTTTCATGACCAGCAGTGAGTCACATGAGTCCATATGAGGTTATAGTCTCAACTGACTATACGATAAAGATGGGTAGCTTTGGGGCGTGACTACCTGCTCCTTTGATGCCTGGTTTATAAAAACAAAGATGGCGATGGCTAAAACGCTGACCATGAGCCCTCAATATGGCTACTTGCATCGTTCATGTACAGTCTGAATTATTCCCAATATGTAAGGAAAGTCTAAGCTTAGTCCAAGCCAATCTTAACATCTAGCTGAACAATCTAGGTACAACTAATTCACTTCATATTTACAGTCCACTGACACCTGCAGAGACCTCACAGTTAAAGCAGGTGTGATTAACTTCAAAGCCTGCAAAGCAAAAACATCAAAGACATGGCTCAATTACATGAGGACACATCTGCATTATGGTGGTGCTTTTAATTTAACACAAAGAACATCTCTGTTATTGCCCCAAAACCCAGACTCACCTTTAATTCTAAATTAGAGATCTACTTATCTTATCTGGTAACTGTGCGAGAGTTGCGTGGGTGAAAACTCAGACAAAAAAGAGAAGCGGCAGAAAGATATTCACCCTAAGAGATAGAGAATAATGCTAATAGTACAAGATTATATCAGGTCCAAAAATACCTCGGCGCTTGTATAACTTGGAGTACAGGCTGAGCTTTTCTAGTCTCACAGGTTATTCATATGCAGAACAAAAGCTGGTGAATATCAATGAGAGCACGACTTGGGTCTGGAAACAAGAAGAACCTCATGATCTTGTTTCAAGGGCCGTAATCAGATAATAGCTGTTGATGACTGGAAATCGGAGGTATTTACAATAACAGATGTTTGCAATTAGGAACCCTTTTGCTGTCAATGAATACCATAAAAGGATATTTTTTTGCATGAATTCAGGACAAGTTTTAGAGGATGTAAAAGGACGACTAAAAGAGAAGGAAAATATAAAATCAGTGACAACAGGGGGGCTTTTCATTAGTTTGGCAGCACTAAATCACCAATAAATTTCCCATGATATCAGTGTAATACTGACACATCTGATTTACATTTCAAGCTGACATATCTGATTCATCATCTACTGAGATTCAGTCAGACTCTTACTTTCTGGAGGAAGAGGACGATTCTCTGAACCATTTCAGCTCGCTGCTCCTCCAGGCTGAAGAGCGTCCGCGGCGTGCGGATGAAGACCTTTGTTTTGCCGTAGGCCACGTCGTGGTCGAACCCACAGCCCTGCAAGAGCCTCTTGACTGCATCTTTGTCTGATGGCAAGTCGTGGTTTGGCCAGGTAAACTCGGAGATCATCTTATATCTGGAGGAAGGACAAAGTGTTTGCATGAAGAAATGTGCACTGTGTGTCAGCAGATTTATGACTTTAAATTTAGATCATTGTGGGAGGAATTAAATAGGATCTGGATAATTCTATATATATATTTCACTTTGCTGAGGACTTCTTTCTGTCCTAATGAATCTCCCATCAGCCCCAGCTGTACATTACTTTATACCTGCTAAACATCAACATATTAGCAATGCTATAGTTAAATTCAGAGAACATTTTCTAGATATATTTTCAGCATCAGATTACATAGATATAACAAGTCCTGGGTTCAAAAACAAACAGTTAAACTCCTTCTAATCTTCTCTATACTTCTTCATCGACACTCTCAAAGCAAACGTCGCATCATCATCTTCTATTACTTCCTATTTAATTGCAGACTTTAGGGGTGGTTGCCGGAGTTCAGGATGCCATCACTGCTGCCAGATCAAATCAACAGTTTTCAAAACTTTGCCACGTAACAGCTGCGATCTGAGTCATTTCACAGCTGATCCACTGGTAAGGCTGTGATATAATGCCATCACCGAGGAGGACTGGAGTAATGGAGTTGGATGCCTTGTTAGCATGTTATGCAAAAGTCTCATTATTTAATCCTCAATCCAGCAGGATTTCTAGGAGGGCAGTGGGTGAATGTGACAGCTGGGGAATAAGGGTGAGGCACAAGTATGTGTACTATTTTGGAGTGTTAGTTAATACACTGTACACTGTGTAAGTATGGGATTGATCGCATTATGTTCCATTAGAACAAAACAATCTTACAATTATTATATCTTCTATCAGCAGTGATCAGTTCCCAATAAGTGATATTTGACTTGTATTTTTAATTAAAAAAAGAACGTGAAGCTTAAAATGTCAGAGGACGAGTGCTATCGGAGGACTCTAAGAATCCACATCTGTCCTGTAACAGTCTTTAAAGTTTAACCCTGAGCTTTTGTTCTGCTTTGGCCTCATTACAGAAATGTAATGAGGCCAAAGCAGAACATTCTTATGAACGCTGCTGCGTGCAAGACTTTAAACTGTCGAGATTATGGATCTCTTTGATTGCAGATTTGTATTATTAATTTAGCATCCAGTGAAATGTTAATATGCCCATTGTTAATATGTTGATAAGTTCTAAGACCCCAAGTAATGTCTCTGGATATCTCTTTTGTGTTGAAACACAAACAGATTAAAAGAACAGCACACATGAAAAGCCAGAATCAGCTGGTTTTGCAGCCTGTTGTCAAAAACTAGCTCTAGATATAAAACAGGCAAATTTAGCAGATGTTTTGGTCAACGGGTGAAAGAAATGCACTATACATCACTACTTGCAGTACATGCATACGTCATACTGTTGTATACAGCCTATACTACCTGCCTGTCACAGGATAGTTAACAGCAGCGCAGAGTCAACAGAACAAACAAGAACTAAACAAGCTCTTGTGAGTTACCCAAGTCCCACTGGGGGCATCACGATGGACTGCACCAATAAAACAATGCACTGCAGCACCGTGACAGTCAGACACAGGTAATGCACAGAGAATCCAATTACATTTAAAAATAAAGACCCCTGCCTTGCAGACTAAATGGTGTCCCTCTGAAACTCCCCAGGTGTCTGTGTCATGTTAAAATAACCACAGAGAACAAAATATACTTGAAGGATAAAAAGTAAAGGTATGCAGGATCCTTAATTTACTGTTATTGGATGATTATTATTAGTGGAAGCAGCAAGTCTATGTCAGAATCAGCTAAGGTGATTTTCTATTCTGTCTGGTTTTATTACTATGTGCATATTAGTATTGTACAGCACTTTGGTCTACCAGGTGTGTTTTTAAAGTGCTATATAAATAAATAAATGATGATGATGATGATGATGATGATATTCTGCCTTACATGTAGCAGTAGGTAATAAGTTTCTTAAAGCTCTGTTTGAATGCACTAAACGTACTGGAATGTACTAAGTCTTTAAATTCAATCTTTTAACTTTTATTATTTATAATAGTTATGGTAACATTATGTTTTTTTTTTCTTGCTAATAACTTTTGTTTCATGTTTCATGATCAAAAAAGTGTTTTAATGAACGATTTTCAACTTGGTCAAATATGTTAGATTTCTTGACTAAATTCCTGTATTGATTTAAGCCTCAGAGGCCAGTTATTGCACCTCCAGTTGCAAGCAATTTAGAACTAATTAGAATGTAAACAGGTTTGCAACATGTCGAAGCTTTTGCCTATGAATAAACCATGAGTTTTTAACACAGGTCACTGACTAGTACTTGCTGTTTGTTTGTTATTGTGCCACATTAAAACTGGGTAATTCTTCAACAAATTAAGATGCCCTATCAGCATCCCTCTTCAGTAATTATAATCAAATGTGGGTGTTTTAGAATTGCTTTTAATCAAAAGGACAAAACATTACGCTAAATTACTGTTTAAAAAAAGAAGACACTGGAGGGATTATTTTGGAATAGCTGCTAGAGATGCAGCTGATTAGTTGATTGGATGCTGATTAGGTTACACAACACAATATTTACACCCCACAGTCAAGACTTTTTCTGCAATATCCTTGATGCCTGATCGACGCACAGCTTCAGGGGTTCAATAACATTTTAATAATAGTGTTTCAGGTGAGGGAAGCTCAGTCTCTTATTGCACAAACATTTTAAAGCTAATCTGAGAAGAAAATGTTTTAAAAAAAATGAATCATGCACCACAAACCTTCAATCTACCATACTTTCATCTAGCATGAAAAATACATCAAACTATGATTTATAATTGTGGTCATTTTTCTCAATGGTCTTGCTTAATTGACTGAACCAAATTAATTTACTGCTCACTGAGGAAAAAAAACTTCAACGTGCAATTAGATCAGGACCACTTGATCTTTAATTAAATGATTTGGTCTGTTGTTGTTCTAATGCGTTGTTGACATGTGCTGCTGTTAGAAAGCAAGATTTGCTGCATTCACACTCAGCCCCTTGGGGACTAAAAGAATTAGGAATCCAACCAGTTTTAGATTTGTAAAAAAAATAAATATGCGGAGCTACCCGCTGTGGCGAACCCTTGTGAATAAATGAGTAATTGAAAGTAGGTTATTTTTCTTCTACTTGGACAATACTCATGCTTCAAAGGCCTAAAATTTATATTCATGTGTGTGTTTATTTTGAAATATTGTATTAAATTTGTCACATTTGATTGTTTTCTTATGGATGTTGTGTAAATGTGCAACACACGCTTGGAAATACTGCGATGGTTTTGATTCCTTCTTATGCATACAAGTTGTAAACCATCTGGGATGCAGTGTTGGTAAGGTTAAGTGTTTCCCAGCACTGAATATTTGATGTCCCGTGGACATGGTCAGGACGGATGATTGAGTGGTGCTCTCCCTCTCCAACCGCCTGCGATATTGCAAAGAGTCAACCATCTGCATGTAGGAATGTCTGCTCAAACTGACCCCAGCATTTTGGCTATGTGAAAAAATTTCTGTATGTTACAGAAACGGTTCACAGAAATGTGTTTATGAGGACATTTAGGGCAAAGAAATAGGCTCCAAATTCATGCAGCTGCTCATTTTACACCAACAACTGTCACTTTAAAGAAGACTGTGGAGTCTTAAAAGTAGCCTCGGCCTCAGCTTTCAAAGGGGGTGAGGAAATGACAGAGTCTGTAAATACGTAACATCATGTTTACTCTGCCATGATAATACCCCAGGACACTCTCACGAAAGAGTCTAAATCTTAAGAGTTTGACTTCTGGGTGAATATTCATATGTGTGGGTGACACAGATTTATATGACTATTTTGTAGCTCATATTCAGGTAAATCTGATCTATTTAATACTTTTACAAGCCATAAATGTCAAAATATTGTTAAATTCAACTTCTCACATGCAAGAAATTGCTGCTTTTTTCCACACCGTTTGTATGGGCTAGTGTGATAGATAGAAAACAGTAAAAAATGGCACCTAACATTTTATAGGCAAAAAGATGAATCAAAAACATAAATGAAGGATCAATCGACATAGGTGGTTTCAGCCTTTTAAGTGGAAAGTAAAGCCCTTTAAAGTATCCATATATAATTCACTCAAACATCTTTAATCATAGGGCAGAGGTGCTTTGAAAGACTGTGTTTTGGCGCACCTTTGTAGGAAGCGAGGGTACGTCTGTCTGTTGGCGAATCCAGCGCGACGCACTCTGACGTTCTCCAGCAGCCCGAGGTATTCCACCTGATGACGGCAGCGCTCATGCTCAAAGAGCAGAGGGGACTTGACATCATTGGGCTTGATGCAGCGAACGTAGTAGGGTTCCTGTACAGAGCAACACAAGGTGGATTTACACACCAGCCAATGTTTTCTACTGTAGTTCAAACTGCAGTGGTGATATACAGTAACTATATGCTCTTCTGTAACAGACGTGTATTCGCACGGACACCAGGAACAGCAAATAAAGGGGGGCTGGGAAGTTGGTCTCGCACATTAGGGCTTCACCTCATGAATGCTGTTAGATATTATTCATATTTTTCAGGTATTTGCATGTGGGGAATAAAACGAATGCCCGTAACATTCTTTTGCATAACTTTCAGATATACTACTGACAAACAAAGCACAGTTTTGTGCAATGATTTCTTCCAAATTAAACCATATCTGGAAGATAACAGGAAGTAGTTTGGGCAAGTAGTTTTTATTAATATTTAGCATCTCTGATGAAGATGATTCCTTTAATACAATCTTTATTTGCCCCTAAACATGAACATTTTCTTTAAGTCTGGTCATTTACTTCATGTACTTGAGAGTAATATGTAAAGTAAGGTTGAACAGTTTAAAAAATAAAACTTGCAGTATTGCATATCAGCAAGTGTACACAGGTCGTGTCATTTAACAGGATTTGTAGTCAGAATCTTTCTCTTCACTTTAATTCCTTCTTAGGAACACGTATAGGGTTATAATCCACTGGCTCAATATGAATATTATCTGATGCAGCACTTATGAAAGGTTCACCTTGGAGGCGAGGTTCTCCACCAATGAGATCATTGAATTTTTGAAGAGTGTTGCAGCCGTCAGCGGTCGCTTGGTGACCTCTGTGATCCTCAGTTTGCCCTCAGGCCACATGGCCTTAAGTACTGAGTTGGAACTGGACAGAGAAAAAGTAAAGAGAAAAGATCAACATTTACAAGACTACTGAGCAAAAAGAGAAGCAGCAGAATTTAATATTCGTCCATGTTAAATGTGACATATGTGTAACATTTCAACAAGATTTTCTAATCAAATCCAAGCATGACATTTAATGAGACCTATTATGGTCAAGACTGCACACTGCATCACTGGATGCTTGTGCATCCCTGTCCATATGCATGATAAATAAAACTAGATTGTTCAAATTTATATCCATATCTGTTAAGACTGATATAATACAATTATAGAAGACTGAGTTGTCCCTGAGTTGTCGTAATAGGACACAACCATCTATTGTCACAGTGAAGTAAAATGTTGACCTTCTGGGGGAAAAAGGGACATCACATCATCATCTTCTCTAATTTTGTGAATTTTTGTCATAATTAGCATCTGAATTCTTGGGTCATGGCTAAAAACATCTTTTTGTGTTCAGCCTTCTGGATGACCTTAACCTCTGATTACTTAAATCCAATCAATTCACCCTTGAATCCAAGAGCTGCTGTTTCTGTTTAGGAAATATCATATTCAAGTGAAGTACAGACGGACAGCATGAAATTATAATGCCTCCAGCAATGCTTGGGCCCAGCCTGGATGCATATTGGAGGCATTCTCATAAGGATAACAGCTCCATATGGCTACAACACTTAGCACATACTCTTCCAGCCAAAATTAACTGATCTGCTTTCAAAAATGTCATGATTCTGATTTGTGTTAAGAATACCATGAACATACATTAGACAGGTAAGCAATTAGTTGATCACATTTATATTCAGCACAAAAAAAGCTGAAGAGGACTGGTGAAGAAGAGGAGGAGGAGGATAAGAGCAAGCTGGGAGAGGATTCATTGCACTAGTCGTTCTTTTCAGAGAGCTGTCATGTAATCAGCGTGCTAGAAAGTGAAAGAGACACTTTGAAGAGTGTGTGTGGAGGTGATTGAAAATTGAAGCAGTGTGTATTACTGTGTGTTGTGTTACCTGTTGTACAGCAGTCTCTTGAAATCCTGGAACAGAGTGTCTTTGTTCTTATCAATAAAACCCACCACTGAGTACCTGTAGAAATACAGACAGAGGTAAATGCAAAGAGAAAGTCTTCAGATGGTCCAAAATGCAGCTGCTCGCCTGCTAACTGGTACCAAATGGAGAGAGCATATAACCCCAGTTTTAGCTTCTCTACATTGGCTTCCTCTCTCCTACAGGATCCAATTTAAACTTTTACTTTTTGCTTTTAAGCCACTTAACCCCTGAGCCACTTCTTACCTGTCTGAGCTCCTTTCTGTTTATGCTCCAGGAAAAACCATGAGGTCTAGCTCAAAATTAATGCTGTCCATCCCACGGACTTATCTCAAATCTCGTGGCAATAGAGCCTTCTCTGTGGCGGTCCCAGACTGGAATAGTCTTCCCCTAAATATTCTGCACAAACACTTGATCAATTTAAATCACTACTAAAGACACATTTTTAACACACTATGACCCAAACATTTTGGTCTTATTTAATAGTCTTAATTACTGTTTTAATTATTTTATTGTCCTATCATTGTTTTATATTGTTACTATTGTTTTACATTGTTTCTTTTTAATGGCATTTTTATATTGTTAAGCACTTTGTGCAGCATCGTCTGTCTTGTACTTTGCTATATAAATAAATTGGACTGACAGACTGATTGTATGGCATCAGCAGTGATGTGGACACTGTAGTCCTCTGTTGTGCTGAAAAGAGAGCTGACTGCGAAAGCAAAGCTGTCGATTTACCCGTCATTGTACACTTCTACCTATGGCCATGAGCTCTGAGAACTGATATTACTGATATTCCACCACATTGACAGGATCCAGGTGGTGTGGTTTAGGTATCTGACTATGATGCTTCTTGGTTGCTTTCTGGACGAGGGGTTCTGGGTAAGACCTAGGGCAGGGGTGGGCATCTCCAGGCCTCGAGGGCCGGTGTCCCTGCAGGTTTTATATGTGTCCTTGAACCAACACAGCTGATTTAAATGGCTAAATTAGCTCCTCAACATGTCCTGAAGTTCTCCAGAGGCCTGTGTGTTGACCCAAGGTGAGATCTAAAACCTGCAGGACACCGGCCCTTGAGGCCTGGAATTGCCCACCTCTGACCTTGCGTAACCCATGAAATGATGGAGACACTGGTTTGAGAACACCTCAGGGTCCTCCTGGATAAGCTGGAAGAAGTGGCTAAGAAGAGGGAGGGGCTTATGTGCCTGGACCGTTACCCCCATGAGCCAACCAAGATAAGGATGGGTGGATGGATGGATCTGTGAATGTCTGATTTAGACAGCATCAGTTAAACAGGGAGACCACAATGTGGCCTCCAGCTGCAGTCTAAGGTGTGGAAGAGCAGCTTTAACATCAGGTGCAGGGAGTGAATGTCACGTGAATTTCAACTTCAGCATCAGGTGAGAGCAAGTGGGAGCACACCCTGAAGCACAAGTGGAAGGTAAGCTTGTTCTTTTCACCACAGCAGGACTGTAGTGGGGTGTTAATCTGAGAAGAGTGAGCAGGTGGGCTTTTATACACTAATCGTCAATAATAACGGACACTGTAGGATCAGCACACTAACAGCAGCTGGGACACTTTACCTAATCCAGTTATCCCAGTAATCTCTGTCCAGTGTTTTAAAGTGGTCGGTTAAATTTTATTGTTGTTTTTCAAATGATAATAATTAGAGATGGACCGATCCGATATTACGTATCGGTATCGGTCCGATACTGACCTAAATTACTGGATCGGATATCGGAGAAAAATAAAAAATGTAATCCGATCCATTAAATATCACGAAAGCACCTCACAAAACTTGCAACACGCCGTAACTCACCTCAGAACGTTAGCACGTCGGAGCAGGATGCATCACGTGATAGAGCGGCTGTGGCATGCGGGACCTGTCGGTGGTCTGGATAGCATTTGGAGCTTCGCTAGCAACCCGGCATTTCATCTCCGACAAAGTTATCCCCGAGAGAAGTAAAGCAAGTGTGTAAGTCCATCTCTGAATGTTTGTAAAGCATTCCTGCGTTAAGCTTAACAAGCGATATATGGAGCGACTGCCTCTTCTCGCTGCTACTTCAATCATGAAACTGCTTAACGATCAGCTGATCGGCTTTTCTGTCGCGAGTCCGTGTCTCTAGTTTGCTTTTGGCCCACTTTGCACCAGAAAGAGGAAACCAGCGGCTGAACAACAGCAGCACGTTTAAGCTTGATCAGCTGTTGTTAGAATGTATTTAATATTACTTTCTACTCGAGGATCTTTTTCTACGTAGCTGACGCTGGTAACTGTGCAGGGGCGCATCTAGCAAAGTTTAGCCAGGGGGGCCGATAGGGCATTAACAGGGAAAAGGGGGCACAAAGACATACTTTTTTCTTATTCTCATTTAAAATGTCTAGCTTTTAATAAATAATTATCTGACACCCAAAGTTTTAATTTGATGTAAAATGAATAGAAGTCAATTACTGTATATAGTGACTATTAAGTCTAATCTCCAAAAAGTTGATTCTGTTCATCTGGACGTAGCGTTTTGTGGGAGAAACGTTTCGTCACTCATCCAAGTGACTTCTTCAGTCTATTAAGTCTAATATATATACCCTAGTAAGCTATAGTACTTTTTCCTTTGGGAAGGTACCATCTGTGCAGTCTGCAATTTTGTTGAAGAAAGATGTTGAATCTATTTAATATTTCTTGAAAAATAATTGATTTCTGTGCATTTTTTTTCACACTGCATCAAATTAAGGTTGATTACGTCGATTAAGCATCATGAGGTGGAGCGTGAGGGGTGGTTCCCTATTTTTTATTTATTTATTTTTGTTGTTGCTGGGAGTTGGAACCCTATTAGTTAGGTTGCTTAATATTTATGCTAAGTACTCTTTAAAATACCAGAATAGGGAGGATGGTGTAGGTTTAAGTTTATTAGATTGATCAGTATTGCTGAACTATGAAATATTTTTTTTTTTGCATACAGGTATAACAGAATAGCTTTAGTGTAGTTGTTGTTTTAAACTTGAATATGAACTTATACAAAATGCAGCAAAATATTTTAAAAAACAGTTTTGTTGATTAAAAAACACTATATCGGATTCATATCGGTATCGGCAGATATCCAAATTTATGATATCGGTATCGGACATAAAAAAGTGGTATCGTGCCATCTCTAATAATAATTTTCATGTGAAAACTGTCAGGCTAATATTCAGATCCACTTTTTTTAGTTAATCAACAAGAAAATAAATGAACCTTTTTTATAATCATTTTAAAAGCTTGTGGGAAGACACACCAACAGGTAGCTGTTAGTGGTGACAGCACTGAGGTTGTAAATGAATACAAATATTTAGAGACAGCGATCAAGGAAAATCTGTCATAGGATTCAAACATAAGTGCCATTTACAAGAAAGGAAACAGCAATTGTATCTCATCTGAAAGCTGCAACAGTTTGATTCAACTTGTATTTATATAGCACTAAATCCCAACAACATTTGCCACAAGGCACGTTATATTCTAAGGTAGTAATAGAAAACTCCAACAATCAGACGACTTTGAGCAGGCTCTTGGCAACAGTGGGAAGGAAAAACTCCCTTTTAAGAGAAAGAAACATCCGGCAATATCAGGCTCAGGGAGGGGGAGCCAAGAGCCGTGACTGGTTGGTGGTGAGGGGAGGAAGACAGGACAAAGACACGCTGTGGAAGAGAGCCAACAATAAACGCATGTCATCTATCAAAGACATCACATGTCTTTGATAGATACACACTGGCTCTTTTATTCTATGCACATGTGGAATGTACTCACCTTCTGTTTTGCTTTTTTGCCTGGAATTTTTACTGTCTGTAGTTAATAAGAGCAAATTCAATAAAATTGCACGTCAGCAACAACGCAGTTTGGCATAGTCTTAACTGGTGGGAACGGGCAAAGGTTCAGGGTACCACAATTTCTCATGCTCAGAGATCTTTTATACCTTGTATCACTCTGTCAAACAAATCAGGTGATATCACGTATGTGTACATAGTTACGCCTTGGTTTTTCGAAATATTATTTTTATTCTTAATGTCTGTAGGGACTTCATTGGTTGTATTTATCTCATATAAAAAGGCAGAAATGGAACTTCTGAAAAGACAAAGATTACTACTACCACTTGCTTCAGGGAGGCCGTTATGTGACTGCATTAAAGAACACATCCTTAGCCATAACTGCATAAAAACTGTGACCGTTTCCTGAATCTAACAAACAGTTAAAAAAATTTTTACTTAATTTTGCTCAACCACAGAGCTGCACTGTGACATGAGTCTAATAAACAATAATAAATCATTTTAAGTAAATGCATGCTGTTACTGATGCAGCCACTACAAATATTACTCTGCCTCCTGCCTGGTGTAAGACGATCAGGGACCAATCAAGGCCGCCTGTCGAACCTGCTCCTCTGCCTCAGTCATCCCCCTGGGTGGCAGACACTTAGCCTTCACAAATGGGCTCAACATGCTTCCCTGAGAGCACTTTTTGGGAAGCTTAGCCTGTTTGGTTTATTCTTTTGAATGGCATCCAAGTAAGTACTCTGGGATTTGGGACTGGGAAATGGTGCTGTATTTTTATTTTTTTTGTGAGACATCATGTAATTAGGATGTCATTTAAATGTTTGAATCTGTCCACCAGTCTTCTTACACAACTGGAATGGGCAGAGTGATTGACTATAATGACAGTTTTCACCAATGACTTGGCACGTCACTGCCTTTCCAATCCAATTCCATGTGGATAAAACTATAAATTGATCACTTTGATTAAGATTAATCTTCATTTCAAAGGATGTCTTTGACGCTTTCAGTATGAATCAGTCAAACGGGGTATTTGGGCACTGAGAGCCAATTCTTCGACATCAGTAGCAGATGGTGTAAATGTTGAGGTGGACTAGATAAAAAGATTCGGGGCCTGGTTTAGAGAGAGTTTTACATTTTTTTAAAGCATGACTATTATATCTGGAAAATAGTAAGTGAAAGCAATGTAAATGTGTTTTTAACATTAAGTTAACTGGAGAGACATCCCTACAGGAAGCTAACTGTTGAAAAGAAAAAAAGAAGATGGGTTATGAAACAACGATTTGGTTAAAATTCAGTTGCAAAGTGTGATTTATTGCCCTGAAAACTATTCAGATTCTTTTAAGAACCAAAACCTCCATCTGCTCCTGAAGTGGGCCAGAGTGCAAGGCTGTGGTTTGAGTCGCCAGCTCTGAGGCATGAATATGTAAAGCTGAGGAAAAGAGGATGAATCATCAGTAAAAGCTTTTCCTGAATAAATAAAAGTCTTAGATACTTACACCACATCTCCTGCATAGTGCCTGATGCGAAAGTCTCTGTCAAACTCCAAACTCTTGTCAGTTGGTGAGAGCTGCAGAGACAGACGAGAAGAGAGAGCAGCGAGTGAGCAATGACACGGTAAAGTGTTCCTCAGAACAATGTATTAAAAGCATAGAGCCTTAAGGCAAAGAAAGAGACATTCACCATTTATCTAAAAATATAAAGTAGTGTTACATCAGTGCTGCTTGTTAGTACTGTACAGCCCATTACCTAAGCTTTCCAATTCAAATCACAAGTGTTCAGCTCCAAAATAAGCAGACATGGGTCAGATTTACATTTAAGTCCCCTCACAGCTCTATTAACCTCTTAGGACCTGGCGTCCACATATGTGGAGATCACATTTTGGGTTATTTAGACCAAAATACTCAATTTTGCTCTACAAGGGCCTGATATCCACTTACGAGGACATTATACTGCTACTGTTCTATCAAAATTTTAAATGAATATCCTCATATGTGGCTCTTATTTTTCATTAAAAACAAAAATAAGGTAAAAAAAAAAAAAATCTAGTAATTCTTTCTTTTTACATTCATCAGGCCCCAATCAACCTAAATATCAAAGAGAAATTAAAAATGAATGCCGTGGAAGAGTTCGGGTCTTAGGAGGTTAAAAAAAACCCACACCATCAACAGAGTGTACGCCAGGGTTAATAATAAATAAGGTCAAAGTTTTCTTAACTTGAAGGCCACGTTTTGATTGTTGCTTGATCATCATCATTGCAGGGACAACACAGCAACGGCCATTCAAGCTCACATTCACAAGTTGACCTAACACGCACCAGAGAGAACATATGCAGGCACTGGGAGAACATGCAAGCTCCACACAGAACTGCCCCAGCAGGCCAGTGGGTTCAAACCCAGGACCTTCTTGCTATGAAAAGCGTAAGGTTGACAGATGCATCAGGGGCAACCTGGGTTTAGGTATGTTACCCAAGGATCCTTAGATACGCAGAGCAAAGGAGCCGGAGATTAGTAGATGACCCAGCTTATTTCCTGAGCCACAGGCGACCCCATAAAAAACCTTCTGATTTTATTTTCTTCTCCAGTGCCTTTAATGCAGCTCTCTACATGACAAACTATTAAAGTTAAACTGTATAGAGTGATGGGCAGAGCTGTTACTGCAAAAGTAGATGCAACGGGGCAGAAAACACCAAGACTGTCGTCACTGATAATGTCTCATAGAACAGGGCAACGAGGGGGGAGGACAGAAAGAAACAAAAGAAGGTGCTGAAAACATTCAAGGCACAGGCAATAGACATGGCAGCAGAGATGAGACAAGGAGAAAGAAGAGGGATATATGTGGTGTGATTGGAAGAGACAGAAGTAAAAAAAATAAAGTGTGTGTGTGTGTGTGTGTGTGTGTGTGTGTGTGTGTGTGTGTGTGTGTGTGTGTGTGTGATATACTGACACATGTATGTAGGCCAGTGACAGCAGAGCAAAGAGGGAGGAAGCATGAATGGAGATGCAGAGAAGTCTTCCGCAGCCCTGAAACAGCCTCTGATGAGCACATCAGGGTTCTTATTTCATCCACAACTGCACAGCAGCGAGTTCATTATGGGCTGTGCCGCTGGGTAAAGTAAGTGTGTGAGTATGTGTGTGTGTATATGAGTGAGAGGCATCCCGAGATTCTGTCGCAATCCCAAGGAGACACAAGTGATTAGGAAGAGAAGGGTGAGGGTACAGGAAGCAGCAAGATTTTTAACAAGGAGAGAAAAAAATAATCCGTGAAAGCCCCTGGGATGGATATCTAAACATGGGTCGAGAAAGAAAAGCCCGAGAGTCATAGAGTATTGCCAGAAGTATACAGACAGGGCTTTGGTCTACAAAAAGTTTGTCTTTTATAATGATAAACAGCTGTTTCATACTTATTCATCAGCAGAAATACTACAAGCTTGGTCTGGCTCCTCAGATATGTGAAAATATTCTGTTTTGTTTTGGGGTTGTTTTTTTTTAAATATATAATTGTAAACTAAATTCTTTGGGGTTTAGACTGCAGGACATTTTTTCTGCTTTTCCTTCATTTTGTTAAACATTTTTCTAAAGCAATTAATCTACTAATTACTTGCATAATTAGTTGCCTGGAAGACTGAAAACAGCTACAGACTCTAAGGCTACCCTGAACACATGTCCTGTCTATTTCAGGTAAGCTTTAAACCACCAGGGCTGTAAACACCTGATATCACTGGTCATGTGTGGGGGGTATAACTAGCAACCAGAAGGTTGGTTGTTTGCAATGGCAAACAGTAAGCGTGAAAGTGTCTTTGCTTGGATTTACAATAAGATAGAAGTGTGGCAGAAACTAGCTTGAGTGCAAGGTGGTCATGGGGGTGAAAACCACAGACTGCAAAGAAATATACTGGTACAAGGAGCATGATCCATCACTATAGACACACAAGAAGAATGAAATCACAAAATATGTGTGAGCTTCGCAGGTCTCAGTTTCCAGACTTTTACAAACTAGAACGGAGTGAACAGAGTAAACAGTGTTTCTGAAACTCTTCATTTTAGGAGGTCCAGAAAAGTCAAAGTTGTAGTGTGAACCTAGAGGTAAACCTTTCAAAAGTTACAGACTTTAAAACTAAAATATTACCGTGGCTCTGCTCCAAGGTTCAGAACTTATCTGAACAAAATTTACTGCAGTGGTTTAATCCTAATCAGTGACAATCCCAAACCTATAGCACCAAAACTAAGCCCAATCCTTTGTGCATGTTTTTGCTTTTCTTCAAAACAAACAGAAAAGGACGGGTTTCCGGTTGAGTTCTATCGTAAATTTATGCCTAAACTGGCTCCGCTCATGATAAATATGTATAAGCACTCACTGGAAGTTGGATCCCTTCCACCCTCTCTACTGCAGGCATCTATATCCCTGATCTTAAAAAAGGATAAGGATCCACTACAATGTGGCTCATACCGTCCCATTTCTTTGTTAAATGTGGATTATAAAATCCTTGCTAAACTTCTAGCGATGCGTGTAGAAGCAGTCTTACCATCTGTAATCAACCCGGACCAAACAGGCTTTATTAAAGGGAGATACGCCTTCTCTAACCTTAGACGTTTGTTTAATGTTCTTTACAATCCCTCAGACTCCAACAGCCCGGAGTTTGGGATCAGTCTAGATGCTGAGAAGGCTTTTGACAGGGTAGAGTGGGGATACCTCTTTTATGTCTTAGATAAATTCGGCTTTGGTAAAATATTCATCTCCTGGTTGAAACTTCTTTATACCTCCCCGCTTGCCGCTGTCAAAACAAATGGCACATGCTCTGACTTCTTTCCTCTGTTTAGGGGGACCAGGCAGGGCTGTCCTATGTCGCCGTTGCTATTTGCAATTGTAATTGAGCCCTTAGCCATATCGCTAAGATCAAACCCAGGTATCACCGGGGTTTCTAGAAATGGTATAGAACAAAGAGTCTCCTTATATGCAGATGACTTGCTTCTGTATATCTCAGAGCCAGCATCCTCATTCCCTTTGGTACTTTCAATATTTGAACAGTTTAGCCTTATTTCTGGCTATAAACTGAATCTTGCCAAGAGTGAACTGTTTCCCCTGAATGCTGCTGCACAGAAATATCAGTGCACAGCACTACCTTTTCGAGTTGTATCAGACAACTTCACATATTTAGGGGTTAAAATTACAAGTCATTTTCATGCTCTTTTCAAGCTTAATTTCGACCCACTTGTGGAGAAAGTTAGGCAGGATTTGGACAGATGGTCTCTACTCCATCTGTCTGTAGCAGGGCGCATAAATACAATTAAAATGAATATCCTCCCCAGATTTTCTTTTCTTTTTCAGTGTGTCCCTGTATTTATTCCAATTTCCTTTTTTGTTAAATTAGACAAGATTCTGTCTGGGTTTATCTGGAACAAAAAAACACCCAGAATACGCAAGACATATCTTCAAAGACCGAAAAAGATGGGGGGGATGGCTTTACCAAACTTTATGTTCTATTATTGGGCATGTAATATTCGTATTCTCAGGTATTGGCTACAGGGGGAAGACACGAATAATGCCCCGGCCTGGCTCAGTTTGGAGACTTCTTCCTGTGTCTCAGCCTCTTTACCAGCCCTGATTTATGCCCAAAAGCAGCCTTCGAGTACAGGCTCTTATAATAACTCTATTGTCAAAGTTACCTTGAAAATATGGTATCAATTTCGTCGTTATTTTAAGTTGACCTTTTTTCCCCTTCAATCACCCATCTTGAAAAATCCCTCTTTTCAGCCTTCGTTAGCTGATGGTGCTTTTTATTTGTGGGCCTCTTTGGGTATCAGGTCTTTTTCTGATCTGTACATTCAGAATACATTTGCCTCCTTTGAACAGCTCTCATTGAAATTTGGCCTTCCAAAAAGTCACTTTTTTCGCTATTTACAAATCCGGAGTTTTGTTAAGGAGAAATCCTTTCAGTTCCCATCTAGACCTTCTTATCATGACTTTGATAACCTTCTATTGCCTCCGCCCTCATTACAGGGCCTGATCTCCTGTTTGTATGGGAGAATATGTTCCTTTGGCAACTCTTCAATCTCGGCTATTAAATTGGCATGGGAGCAGGATCTGGGGTGTGTGATCCAGGATGACTCTTGGGATAAAATTCTTTACCGGGTCCATGGCTCCTCATTCTGTGCCAAACATGGGCTGATTCAATGTAAGATTCTGCACCGTGTACATTGGACTAAGGCCAGACTAGCTCAAATATATCCCAATTTTAGCCCTGACTGCGACCGTTGTCATCAAACACCTGCCTCTTTAATGCATATGTTTTGGTCATGTTCATCCCTCAAACAATACTGGATTAATATTTTCTTGATTTTATCTAAGATCATTCAGCTAACCCTCCAACCTGTGCCCTTAACTGCTTTGTTTGGGGTTCTTCCTGATTCAGTTGCCTTGCCGACGCCTCAAGCGGATCTGGTCGCATTTCTCACCTTATTGGCAAGACGCAGAATATTGCTATGTTGGAAGTCCCCTTCTGCCCCATCCTGGGAAATCTGGATCAGAGACGTTCTGCATTTTAGCAAACTCGAAAAGATTAAATTCACC